GTATTGACGGGCACTTGGATTGTTTCCACATCTTCACAATTGTGAATTGTGCTGCTATAAACATCCTAGTGCAGATGTCTTTTTTATAGAATGTCTTTTGTTCTTTGGGTAGATGCCTAATAGTGGAATTGCTGGATCAAATGGTAGTTCTACTTTTAGTTCTTTGAGGGATCTCCATATTACTGTCCATAGAGGTTGTACTAGTTTGCAGTCCCACCAGCAGTGTCTGAGTGTTACTATCTCTATACATCCACATCAGTATTTTTTGTTTTGGGACTTTTTGATAAAAGCCATTTCCACTGGAGTTAAGTGATAATATCTCATTATGGTTTTGATTTGTATTTCCCTGATGATTAGAGATGTTAAGAATTTTTCATATGTTTCTTGGCTATTAGTCTACCTTCTTTTGAAAAGTTTCTGTTAATGTCCTTTGCCCACTTTTTAAGGGAGTTATTTGATTCTTTCCTTACTGATTTTCTGGAGTCCTATATAGATTCTAGTTATTAGCCCTTTGTCGGATGTATGGCATGCAAATATTTCCTCCCATTCTGTAGGTTCTCTATTCGCGCTAATGATAGTTTTTTTTTTCACTGTGCAGAAGCTTTTTAATTTGATCAGGTCCCATTTATTTATTTTTGTTGATGCTATGATTGCTTTTGGGGTCTTCTTCATAAATTATTTGCCTAGGCCGATGTCTATGAGACTTTTTCCAGCATTCTCTTCTAGAATTCTTATGGTTTCCTGCCTTAGGCCTGGTACACTCTCGCTTCAACTGTTCACTGTGCTGATTTCTTCTCACCACATAAGTCCTAGATCAAATGTGGGTTCCTTGGGGCACCCTCCTGCTCACCACATTGAAACAACTATGCTCTGCTCCTCCTGAGCTGTGAGAGTGGCATTACCCCCCTCTCAGCCCCGCAGCACGTGTCTCATTCTCTAGTCCTTTTTAGTTGTTCACTTGTCGGTTCTTTCAGGGAAGGACTCTTCCCTGTTTTGGGAACCCCAGTATCACCTGTGTCTAGACCAGGGCCTGACACATAGCGATCCCTGGCAAATGTTTATTGAGTGGGGTGTCTCCAGTAGGAAATAAACAGGACCTTGTGGAGTACTTGGATCAGGCCTCAAAGGTTTAAGCTCAGAATTGAAAAAAAAGCATTCATCTCAAATGGACTCTGGCATCCTCTATCCCAGGACTTTCTTTACACATGCCACAGACACATACAAATGGGAATGTTTCTATGGCAGGCTGGAGTAAGCAGCTCAAGTGCCCAACTGGGGTCAGCACCAGGGTCAGCGGCTGTTTGAAGCACTGTCCTGGCCATTCCAGGACCCGGGTGGCCTTGGCAGTGGGGTGGGGATGGAAAGACACAGCTTCAGCACCTGTAACCATGTGCAGCCCACTCCTACCCTGGCCAAAAGGCTCCGTGGTATTCCAACCCCTTCGTGTAAACTTGGCGCCTCTTCACCAGGCAGATTGGGATAAAGCATGTGCACTAATTGCTGTGTATTTTGATGGAAGACTAAGAAATAGAACATTCAGAATAGACAAGAAGTAGTTGGCAGCACCCCTGTTGGGAAGACCCTGGGCCCAGGGGCTGCAACCCCTCGTCTTGCTGGGCCTGCCGTTGTGGCGGTACGGGCCTCATCCCCGCCGGATGAACTTAGTGCCTCTAATGAGCCTCGCGGTGACCTTCAGCAGTGACCTCCCTTGAGGTCACAGATGAGCTGATGATGGATGCATCGTGGAGATGCCTGGATACAATGGGGGATTCGGAGAAGGAGAAGGGATGCAGGGGGTCACGTCAAGAAAGTGTCTGCCAAGCAAGTCGCAGACACTGTGGTACCAGAAACATCCTTGGGCAGGGAACTGTTTTCAACCCACCTTCAAAAACAGAATTTAAGCCACCTGGATCTGTTGTTACAAGGAGTGTAACCAGGACCACAATAGGCTCAGTGAGGGATGTCAGATGCTCATTTTTAAAATTCTCACAGCAGCAGGCACACAGCAGTTAGCAGCAGTGGCTCAACTGCCCACGGACGCCAGTACTCATGAATTCACAAGTAATGAAGCTAACCCTGTAGGGAAGCCCCCCCACACCCCCGAATACACAGGGAGTTCTGTGGTCAGGTCACGCCAATCAGTCTCGGCAGGGCGGCGGTGAGGGCGTGTGCAGACGCCGCTCAGAGCCTTGCAGCTTGCGCTGGGGAAGAAAATCAAGTCTGGGCCTTAATTGCAAGCTCTTCAAGGACAGCTTCCCTTTCTCTGATGTTTGCTTAAAGTGTCTCAGTAAAGGTCGTCCAGTGAAGGCTCTCGCTCTAGGATCTGGTCCTCGCATGCTAGCAGCTGAAAGCCAGCCGTCCTAGGTGGAACTGGGCATCTCCCAAGTTCTAATCTCTGGGACCTCATTTGGAAACGGGGTCTTTGCAGATGTAATTGGCTCAGGTCAGCTGATACCAGGGTAGTTGGCCCAGAGTCCACCATGACCGTGTGCTCTAAGAGGGGAGACACAGGGGGGGAGGTGCCGTATGAGGACAGAGGAGATCAGGTGACACCTCCGTGAGCCAGGGAAGCAGGAGAGAGGCCTGGGCCAGGGCCTCCCTCAGGGCCCCCAGCAGGAGCCAACTTGGCTGAACTTCCAGCCTGGGCAGCAGTGAGAGAGCAAACGCCTGTGGTTTTAAGTTGCCCAGCATGTGGCACTTGTTACAGCAGCCCATGTACACCAGCCAAAAAGTCCTCTGTGAGGTCAAGATAGTGACAGGAAGATGAGTGCTGCCCGATGGCCGCTCTCAGCAGTCTCACCTCTAGGGAAGGTTCTGGTCATTGGGTTATCTGACCTCCGAGAGATAGCTGCTTTTAGAAGTGGCACATTTGAAACAAGGCAGTGAGAAACCACTAGAACTACAGGTCCATGCACAACAGCAAGGGGTGACCGTGTGGGTGCAGGAGGTGAGAGTGTGGGGAGCACAAGCCCAGCTGTTCTGTGAGGAGGAGGAGGAGGACTCCAGACCCCACAGTCAGCTCTGAGATCCTGGTGCACTCCTGCATAGCAGCAATTGTTACCCTCGCAATTAATTCATCAAAGGGATGGGTGTGCAGAATGGGCTGGACTTAACTCTACCTGGAAAGGCAGCCACGTGCAGGCGTGTCCTGAGAAGAGTGTAAGTGCCAGCAGGCTGCAGCAGTCACCATGCCCCCCCGATCAGTTCTCATGACCCCTCAGTGAACTTACAATGCAAGTCTGATCACACCAACCAGACCCACTCAGATGCTTCTAGAGGCTTCCAGGCCTCTCAGTCAAACCCTCCCCATGGCCTCCACACTCTGCTCCTATAGCCCTGCCCTGTGGCTCTGCCCTGGCCATCCCAGATGCTTGCTCCTCCTGGCCCCTCCTGGGCTCTGACTACTCTGACCTGTGGGTGCTAGAAACAAAGTGCTCTTACCAGCACCCTGCGCCTGCTGGCCTTCAACCCACTGCACACCCACACACCTCACACACATGCACATGGCCATACACACACATATACACACACCTAACAAATGTGCACATGCACACACATGCAAACACACACAAATCGTGCAAGTGTGTGCACACAGACATACAAAAACAGACATGCAAGCACATATGTACATGTGCACACATTCTCACCTGCCAAACACACACATAGACAAGCATACACACTGCCAAATACACACATGCACAAATGCATGCACCATGTATACCCACTCACATATGCACACACAGAGACACACAAAGACAGACAGACACACACACGCATCTCACCTGCCAAACATACATACAAACAAAAACCTCTGCCAATCACACATGTGTACATAAGCACAAATGACTGTACACATGTGCATACACTCACACACAGAGACACACAAAGACAGATACACACATATACTCACACACTTGAGTGCACACACAGATGCACACACAGACACACACACACACTCTACAGTTAAACTCAACACATCCACTCCTGTGTACTCATGATCCCAGATCAAGTTCTACATCTTCTGAAAAGCCTGTCCTGACCCCTGAGTTCCTTTGTTATACCATTCACAAGACTCTGCTCATTCCACAAGGAGGACTTATCTCAGCAGGTTATTAAATATTCATTAGTAGAATTTAGTAGAATTAGTTGAATGTTTTTCTCTACCTCCATTGGGGTGGAGGACTATGTATTTGTAACTAAAATACGTTTCTACTTTCCCCCAAAAGGCAGCATATTTTTTTCCTTTTTTTTGCTTAGCAGAAATCATAAAGAAGTTTATGAATGGCCTTTCCCCTCATACAAACACACTCACACACACACACACACACACACAGGCATGCATGTGCACATCCACAGGTGTACACACATACAGAGAGAGGCATACATGTGCACACACATGCATGCATATGCACACAGGCATACATGTGCACACACAGGCATACATCTGATACACACACACCATTCTTAGAGCAGCACCACCCAATAGGTCATGAGCACTGTGCCCGGCTTTGTTCATACTTAAAAACCCAGAGCCTGGGCACTCAATTAATGTTAACTGGAAAATTGAATGAGACTAGATTTTTGAGAACATTCAGTGACAAAGGCTCACAGTTCTAGAGATAAATCTATATGAAAAGATAATGCAATTGCAATCAAGATTAATTGGAAAAGAATGTTTCAACATCATTACTTGTATGCCCAACAAGTAATAGGGTCAGTGAGTACCTTATAGTAGAGTTTCAGCAAATCTGTGTGAGGAAGGAAAGCTGTTTGCTTTTCTCATTGCCCTGCTGGGAAGAATTATTTAATCCCATTTGAACAGCCGCAAGGTCAAGGCAATTATTATTTTCTGGGAAATCAATAAACTTAGCGATGCACTTATAGCCTTTGCAAGTAATTTAATCACAGGTCATACGCAATGATTCATCTGGTCATTGAGTCCCACAAACTATGTGACTTCCCAGAGTTTCAAAGCCATTCTGATATCCAGACAGGATTACCTTGATACCAGGAGTGATGCCGAGCCCTTCGTGCCACCGGTATATGACAGTCTCCCTGGGATAGGCACGCACCTGGTATGAATAAACAGTCAAGTTAGAAAAGCATTGTTTGCCATTGATTCATTCTAATATACACAGTGAACTTACATGGTATGCTAGACATATAAGAAATTCAAAATTTTGGTTAATACACTTGTTATAGGTGTACTGTAACTGAATTGTTAACTTCCAAGTTGGCAGGATAAAGACACAGTTAGCAATAATATTAGTCTGAACACAGTTTAATTTCTATTTAATCATTTAGAAGTCTCTTCAGAACTTGCCATGCCTCAGAGTTACCAAGGTGTACAAGACACCTCCTGTGTCTTCTACACAGGACAAATGCTCCCCAGTGGACTGAGGTTTCGGCAAATGGATTATTAAACTAACCATTTTTTAAAATGTAGCTCAAGAGCTGTCAGTAGAAATAGGCACTAGACATTGTTTTCTTAGAAGCTTGGTTATATAGTTATATTTATTTTCAAGTCTTAAAAATTAAAGTTGGAAGTAGAGATGAGGGTGAAATATGAACAGTATGGTCCTTAGGCACTTAACAGGGCACTCTTAAGGTAGAAGATGCCAGAAGATTCTAGTAAGATGACATGATATTTATTTGAAATGAAGCTTCCTTAGAAAAAGCATAAGTTGAAGTAGTCCAAAATCACAATCTGTTTTTCATCCTCCATTTCTGACTGCAATGTTGCCTTGCATTTTTATAAGAAGAGTTATTAAATGACTCTTAGCATCTTCATCTACAATGACTAACAAGCTCACAAGGTTAGTTAGCATAGCTTATAAATCCATAGTGCTACAACACAAAAGATTGTTTTGGTTAAATGCTGAATTGGTCATTGTGGAAAACTGCATCTTGCCCACCAATAAATTATTGCTGCCACTTCTAGTAGGCTCATTTTCCACACTGACCAGATTGTTCGGCGAAAGCCAGTGAGATATTTAAATGGTCAGCCCGTTTTCCATTTTCTGCTATGTTAAATGTGCCGCGTTCCCTACTAACAGCCCTAAGGCGTGGGGTTTAGAAATCTATTACGGTTTTAATGGGGTGAGATGTGTACGTGTGCTCTGCAGCCAGCCTCTGAGGCCACGGCTGTCCTCCCTCCCTCACGAGGAAGGCCCCTGCATGTAGAATTAACCAGGAGGTCAGAGAGAAGCTGGCGTCGCCCAAGAACCTCCTCCTCCAGCCTCGGAGGCAGCACCTGGGCCTCTTGTAGCCGATCCAGCAGTGCTCAAAAGGGCAAGACAATTAAAGCCCCACAAGTTTGTGGAGCACTTTGAAGATGAAAAGCACTATATAAATGCTAAGTGTTATTATTACCTGGAAGACGGAGGGTAAAAATGATGAATTCTAAGAAAGAGACACCTATATTATATAAAGTACCAGGACAGGGCAGAATGAGAAAATTATCTCATACTGAGTTTAAAAAGTTAAAAAAAATAATAAATTGGTGAGATAGCCATATTGGAAACGAAAGGAAGGCCTCATGAAGTATGAAGATAAATTATGCAATTTAATGCAACTTTGTGGAGCCAGAGGTCACTGAGAGAGATAATGGGGATTCTGAAACATGGCGACAACAATTAATTCCTTAAAAAATCAATTAATATTTTCTCTCATCATCCACAAAGGGGGCCTAGAGCAGATGCAGGCAATGCACACATTTCCCAGAGGAGAAGGAAGGAAGGTGAAGGAAATCAGAATCCTGTTGACATGGATGATCAGAAAATTATCGCTGTGGCCACGGACATGTCCGCAGGCCGAGGCCGTATCTGCCCCAGCCCTGCAGGGCAGACCAGGGAAACCCACACGTGTGGCTTTCAGAAGTGATCAGCAAGTACAGTGTATATTTAGGGCTTACATGGAAGATAGGGATCATGGGTCCATTTATTTCAGCCAGACAAAACCTATTCCCTAGTGGATAGAAGTGATGGCTAGTGTTCTGTCCTACAAAGACAGTGTGTGTGCACAGGCACAAGTATACACACACATACACACGTGCACATATGCACACATATGTGTACACATGCATGCACACGCGCACACACGCTGAGCAGCACACGGGAGGCCAGCTTGGGGCAGCGGCTCCCCATGCTTCCTGCACAGTGTGGTACTGCCCTAGAGAAACAGACCTCAAGCTAATAAGGAACAACTCGCAATTGAGATAAACTCAAGGAACACCTTTGTGGTGCTTTATGATGCAGAAGGTTGCTTAAAAATTGAGGGCTTTTGGTTTGTTTTGAAACGTGAAAGAGAAAAGTAGAAGGGCCACACCGGGGTGCCTGCACCACTGCGCCATCAGACATTGGTCGGAGGACGCGCAGCGTGCGGGAGCAGGGAGGGCGCGGGGCTCCCTGTGGAACTAGCGAGGGCACGGACTCTGGAAACAGGCCTGAACAGCTGGCGGCCGCCCTGGAGTAAGGCCACGACAGAGCCAGTTTCACGAATGACATTCTCCAGGCGGCTGGTCAACAAAGACCAAGGTGGGAAAGCCATAATGACCCGGAGGAGGAGGGCTCCAAGTAGGATAAGTGATGAATGCAATTGAGCAGAGAAAAATGAAAGATAATGAGATTAGGGCTAAAAAACCGTGAACGGACCTGGGACCAAAATAATGACAGGGCACGTGGTCGCCTTCACTGAGACTCAGAGGTGGGAGATAATGATCAAATCTCGCATCAGAACTATTATCCATGGTTTAAAGAAACAAAGTCCCGTTGCTCGGGAATCAGCAACTAGGAATGCACACGAGGAGACCATTCCGGCACCAAAGCCGGTGTCGTGGGGGACCCCATTTGGACCTGTGTGCCGGGCTCCAATTGGTCTGTGCTAAGAGGCAGACCATGCAAAGAAAGAGGGAGGCAGAGGGTGTGCAGCCGGCAGTCCCCACAAAGAGCTTAATTATTGCAGGAGGTCGGGGTCGGGCCGAGAGCTTGTGTTCTGAGGAAAGGAGAAGATTAAGAGAGAACCTCATCAGGAAAGCGATGAATCTTTAATTTGTATTTCATTTGTACATAAGTCGTGCCCTTTTTAGGATGTTGATGCTGATCAGAGCAGGTTCTTGCTGAAGGCGTCAGAGAGACAGGAATAGAGTCTTTGTCTGATTTGTCTTTGGCGATGTGGCCATGTGCTGTTGTCCTGGTCTCCTCTGCAGGCCACCTTCCCAGGGCCCTTTCTCTCACCAAGGGAGGGGCTCCGGGATCCCTGGATGGGGGCTGGCGTGAGATCCTGTGCCAACACCCCACAGGTGAAAGTGGACAGAATGCACAAAGGTGCCTGGATGTGGGCACAGGGAGCGGCTGGGGGCCCCCACCCTGTAGAGCCTTTGGCTGGCAGGGGACGCTCCCTCCTGGCACATCCTGCCTGTCCTGTCCCAGATCAGCTCTTTCAGCACAGAGCAGGGCATGGGCTCCTTGAGGCTTTGGTGCAGCAGAAAGTCAGAGCACAAAACCCCGGATCTTTCTGCATTTACCACGAGGAGCTTATACTCCACCAAGCACCATCACAGCGCACGGCTGTGGGGAAGCGGCCCCTTTTGCAAAGAGGAGGATGGATGTGTGGCCACCACCAGGTCCCTCCGGGCCATTCTCTCAGAGTCATGGCTGCTAAACCGAATCTTTGTTTGCAATTTCTGTCATTTTGTTTTTGTCAGCTTTGCCATTGTCAAGCTGTTGCTGAGTTTTCACAGCTCCCACTTTTCCTTTCCCTCCTACTTAGCTGTCCCACCTCCTTTTCAGACTGTGCATATCAGCGGTGAAAATCCACTCTCCCCCATGCAGTCAACCTTTTATGAAATAAATACCAGTGGCTTTCCAGAAAGAACCATCTTACAAGACAGCACCTCACCCCAGTATCCAGCCCTGTGCATGGTTCATGATGCTTCTGTGGCGAGGCCGGCTATGAGACAAAACCTGAGCAGGCCAGTGAACCCAGGGGGGACCCTGGTGATGGCACTGGCACTTCTGGATATTTCTAGTCTCACATGTTAAGGCTTCCAAGGCTTCTTGGCCCAGCAGGTTCACTCTAGGCTGCGGCAACGTCCAAGGGGACCAGCCCATCAGCAGAGGACCGGTGGGCCATGCTCCTAGTTACGTGGTGCCGAGAGCCTGGTAGGCGGGGCCGAGGGGTCACAGAGGGGACCTCCAGGGCCAGGGGAGGTGGTCAGGGCCCTAGTCAGGAGGGCTGGGATTTAGGAGCTGGGAGGACACAGTCATACGCAGTGGCACCCACATCGTGGGCCTGTGAGTAAGTCACAAAATGTGGGTCTAGTTTAGGCTCACAACGGACTGTCCTGGGACGGGGCTGCAGGGCAATGTCAGGAATTGGCTCCCAACTCCAGGCTCCAAGTGAGCACTTTGTTTTGGAAGGCTTTTTCTGTATTTCACCCAGGACCCACCGCCTTGGCCCCGACTGGTCCTGCAGTATGGGGTCGAGCGCCTGCCCACGCGCTCTAGCCAGAGTCCTGCGCTCCACAGGCGGCTGCGCAGCCTCCCACGGCCACAGCTCTGAGCCTCCAGACTGTCCCCACTCACTGCACGGAAAGCCCGCAGGGATGTTTGCCTCACGGACCCCGCCTGGACCCATCCGCCAGGCTGTGCAGACACTGGGGAGCTTGGGTGCCACCTGCCCTCACGGCCGGGTCCCTCCCTCAAGTGCTGGCTCACCCCACACCCTCCCAAGCCTGTCCTGACTACAACCACCCCACCCCGCTCCAAGAGGCAAAGTCAAGCACCGAAACTCGCCTTGTGAGAAACTGCAGGTCACGCAGGCAAGGGCCCTGCTGCCGAGAGCTGTCCCAAATTAAAGGGAAGCCAGCCCTGTCTACAGAAGGCCCTCGCCCAGGGGACTGCACCCCCGCAGGCCGGGCCGGGCCTGCCCTCTCTCCTAGCCTACTCCTTCGACCCCACGCACAACAGCAACCTTGCCAGGTTCTACCTTCTGTGGAAAAGCTCCGGGGCACAAGGCCAGGGAAAGTGTCGGCGTTGGATGCAATAGCCAAGGTGAGCGCAAACAGCTCAAACTGAGACTTCCACTTGTCGGACCGTGAGACCAGT